GGTTATTACGTCGTTGGGGGCGTTATCACTCTTCCGCGCTTCCAACGGAGAAACACTGTTTTGCTCGGAGAATGTGCCCTCTGGACGATGTTGACAGCCTCGATTAAACACTGTACGGAACGATACACGAAGTGTCACATTCCTGATACATAGATCCATCGCGTCGTGTTCCAACGCCACTGTATAGCACACTGACGTTTATTTGATTTACAGAATACAGGTATACACTTTGCTTTGAACGCGCACGTTATTATACAACTTAAGATGCACCGGTGTTTATAAAAGAACAAACATGCGCTGTCCTCCAATTTCTTTAGTTTCCATGGTAACGATTGACTTACAAATAAAAGATTTCAAATCAAGAAAAAAATGAGTCTTTGGAATATGCCACTATTTGGGACAGAGTTCTGTAGTTGTACTTTGACTTGAATTCACTTTTAACGTTGGGTCAGCGAAAATATTTAACTTCACTATTGACAAAATCCTCCCTTGTGTATAATCGGATATAATCGGACGATACAGTCAACCAATATCTCCTACCAAGCCTTCCCGGACACGACGAACTTCGACGAACATTAGGAAACGCTAGGATAAATTTGCACACATTAATATTTTAAGTTTGTGTGTACTTAAATTGATTATTACAAACGTTAACTGTCGGCCGGCAATTCCCACCCGTAAATTGGCTGTTTATAAGTTGAGGGAAGAGTGCAGTCGTAACCGACAGTATATCGACGGACGACGGCCCAAAGTCGACGGCCGATAATTGTCTTGTACGTGATATGATGACCGCGAGTGGTGCCTCGCGAAGTCTGCCACGCTAATAAAACATTAAAATCGACTCACCATCACATAATACCTCGAAAATATGTGCTTGGTAGATGGCCGCCATATCATCCCATAATATCCCGTTTTAGCGACTACGTCCATCGTAATAATGTGTCAATTCGAATTGTATTTTAAACGCGTTGTAACAGATAAAACTATGTGGTTCTGGAACAAGCAATCGCGTATAGATCTACACAGAAACACCTAGTAGATTACAAAGTTTGTACATGCTTCATGTGAGACGTTTTATTTTAGTTAAATTATGTACAATGACGTCATAACATAATCCAAGCAATTGTTTCAGGGTTATCATTTTCTGTCTTATTGTTTTGTGGTCGCAATTTCGTATAGATCGCAGCACTATGGTTACCGGTAATTCAGGGTATATTAAACAAAAGTTGTGTAGCTAAACGTTTTCGTGGTCGTCCGATGCCTAGATGCAAATGAGTATTCCTTCCATCGATTGTCAAACGTTATTCCAATATACTTATGCAAACATTGATGTCTGTATATTGTATAAACATAGAACGAATAACGTGTTGTTGCCATAGAAACCAAGATTTGTTTCATTTTAAAGAAATATATTAAATTATATTGACTGTCAAATCATGGCTGAATGGACACCATAACTAGAAGTCCAAGCAACACAACAGGCGCTAACTTTGTGATGTTACTGGTACTGTCTTCCCTAGCATTGCTATAGGTTTACACTATTATATAAAAAACAATGTGCGCAAAATTATAATTTTAAGAGTTCGTTCATGTTGATCAGCTCACCTATTTTGCAGTATTTTTCAACGAGTTTGTCGTCCTCAAAACGGCCTTGTTGACCAAATGTTACCAATTTTGTGGGCATGTTGTACTTGTCCAATCCGTATACTAAACAATCTTCGACATTCATCATGCATAAGACAAGTAGTGAATGGATTTAAAGAGCGATAAAATCCCAGCACCAGCGCGTAGGTGATCTACCAGGTTACTCCATGTGAAGCACTTATAACGGAGTCAAACCGGCAAACATGCTTTATCTGTTCTCGTTCAATCCTAGACAACTGTAGCGAGTAATCGAGTAACCACGGATCAATAAAATTACTCTTTTGTGCGGTTTGATCTCTTCTTTTCTCGGGAATCTCTCATTGTGCGAGACGTGAATGAGAGACTGGTCAGAGATCAAACGTTACTTTCTACCGTCTCACTGATAGATGTCATACTTCGCG